GCTGTTAGCCCAAGAAAGGCAGGCAGAGTTAGCGGAGGCCGGAGAGGGAGAAGTGGGAGGAGGAATTCGCCATTGAACTTGAAGTTGAGGATCGCGGTGATGATGATAGTGATTAATAGGGTCATTTTGTATAACATGATTGCAGTTTGTTTTACAGGGTAGCCTTCATTCTTTCTTGTTGAAGTGTTTCGGGCAACAAGTTCATTGGCTCAATGGATATTACCGGTAACTTGTATTGTTCAGCCCATGGCTGTCACATCGTTTCGTTTTTTTATGCTGCCAATAATCTAAAGGGGATCGCACACCGGACGAGGAACGCAGCGCTGCGCCGCGTCACGTCTATGACAACTCGAGGTATTATTATATTCTCAATTCATTCAGTTAACGGACGCTCTGAGGTAAAGTGTTCAGACTGCTGTTTTAGCAACGATTGTATTTAATTGTACAGTACAATCATAACATCGTACTGACATTATCTTCATTCCATAATGTCCTTAAACATAACAATATTGCTGGTCATAAACTGAGAAAGTGTGTGTCCGGTTTGCGATACCTCGAGTTGTCCTAGAAGCGGCGCGGCGCAGCGCTTCTCGTCCGATGTGCGACCCCCCTTTAGACATACGGTAGTAATATAGTAGGCTAATTCTTACATTAACTGATTTGTTAAACACATTCGAATTAAAATGTAATATGATGTGGTAACCTCTGACTGTCATGCTTTCCATCTATTAGCCTATGCTATTTGGATCGTTATCATTGGCCTACACTCAACAACATCTCAACACTAAATTAAAGGCCTGTCTCATATAGACGCCTGTCTCAAATACAAGCCGGTCCAGTTCGGCGATTTGGGAAAATAAAAGCCCGGGCTATTATTTGAAGTTTTACGGTATACAGTTGGTTTGATCACATCATTAGAATCAGTGTGAACAATTTTGAATCGTTTGAATCGCAAAAAGAGAATTGCAAAAAGAGTGCAGGAGAATTTCAAACAGTGTCTAACTGCCTGAACTTGTACGGTTTTGCAGAAATAGTGATTTATTCAACAAATTGGTTTAGGCTATTGAGAATTTGGTTCAGAGAATGGAGTTTAGTGTTTTAGCAATTCAGAAAAACGTAAAAGGCTTATTCAAGTAGGCTGCAGTAGCCTCCAGCAGGATGCAGTAAATATTTTAGTGTTGTTTTAGGTGTACAATATCTATATGTATTGCCTTTAATGTCCATAGCCTTTACACATCAGCTTGGATATTGCATGGTTAAAAAAATACTAATTTTAAGACGCTGACGTCACGTCGGGTGGTCACGTGGGTCACACGCTCGGTAACGGTAGAGATCCACTTTTGCGACACAACTGTCGCGTGGTGCGACGCCTCCCCACGTTGATGGGCGTTCCTCAAGTTTACCGCTATGGGCGTGGTTTTGAGCCAGCGGCCAGTCTAGAACAGGACCTGCGAGAGACTTCCCCCCGTCTCCATATGCTCTACTTCTATTGGATAGTCGCGTCGCGTTCAACGGAATTAATTTGCATAAAGATGGGCATCGGCCAGCTTTTTGCCGCGCAGCATTTTTCAAAATAAAGCGCCGCCTTCCTGGGATGCTTTGCGGGCGCGTTAAAGTCGCGTGACGTCACCCATAAAGCGAAGCCAGCCTAAGACGCACAAAAGTAGGCTACAAGACGTTCGATCGGTCGTTCGGATGTTTGATTTTGGAACGGAGTACGCGCCACGCGCGCAGGGTTTTTGAATGAGCTCGCGAGTTTCAGTTTTCTTGCATGTAGATCTGTTATCCTCTCCCGGAAGTCATTTACCGCGCGTGCCAGCATCAGTTGTGCGCTCGGTTCTTTTACCCCTTATTTACACTACACACGTCTGCGGCGCATCCGACAAGGTTTTAATCCGTCCTTCCCGCGGTGCCAACTCACACCAGGAGCATTACAGAAGCGAAGCGACTGGATGCGCGAGACCACGTGATTTGCCTGTCCGACTTGTTTTTTCTTGATTTTTGGGTTTTTACCAAGGATATACCGGTGTGCAATACAATATTGGGAATCTGCATAGGGTGTTTATTTTGAAATTGACAGTTTTTTTTTTTTTTTTTTGTACAAAATAACTTGGTTATTATTTATTATATATTTGTTATTATTATTAGCTATCATTTTTTAACAGCTTTGACGCGGCGTCCGTTGAAAATAGACTCGGCGCCTATCTTTAGCGAAGCGGCGCAGAGAGGTGCAAACACAAGCATAGAGTGGGCGCGATCAGCTCCGGTAGCCGTGTCGCAGCCGTAACGCGCCGCAGACGTGTGCAGTAAAGCCCCGTTCACACTACACGCGAATTTGTCGCTGCATGTCGCCAGGCACTGGCGATGAGGTCGCTAGTGGGCGTTCCCACTACTGGTTGACTAGTATGACATCCAAAAGACAGCGAATCAGCTTTCCTGCCATCCATCACTGCAGGCCCAGGGGCTGAGGAGAAGGATCACGTGCGCTCCACTCCTATTGGTTGTCGCTCGCGAAAATCGCTCTTCATTTGCATAAAGTTAAAAATTTCTCAACTTTGTCGCGTCGCTAGACACGCCCCATTTAGTCGCCAACAGTCGCTGTCACGCGTCATTTTTTGGCCCGCTCACCATTGAAATGAATGGTATCGCGTCGCGTGTAGTGTGAATGGGGCTTAAGGGGTTAAGCCCCGTTCACACTACACGCGACCAAGCGACGCGATACCTTTCATTTCAATGGGGAGCTGGCGATTTCCGGCGACACGCGCGACAGCGACCGTTGGCGACCGGATGGGGCGTGTCTGGCGACGCGACAAAGTTGAGATCTGTTTAACTTTATGCAAATGAGGAGCGACTTTCGGGAGCGACAACCAATAGGAGCGGAGCGCATATGATCCTTCTCCACATCATTGGATGTCATTCATAAAGGCAACCAGTAGTGGGAACTCCCACTAGCGACCTCATCACCAGCCACTGGCGACATGCAGCGACAAGGTCGCTTGTAGTGTGAACGGGGCTTAAGGCATTGATTTGCCGCCATAGTTATCCTTTTAATTGAAATGATCGGAGCGCCAAACCTGCTATCCTATGGAGCAGTATCGGCAAATTATTACGTCTTGTTTGTACAAATTTACATATTTCGTGGTTTCTCATATTTATGAGGCAGGATGAATCTCACCATTAAAACGACCTGAACTATTGTCAGGCTGTAGCCTAAACAGTAAGCTAACGGAAATACAGTAGGCCTATGGAAAAAATTGGTTAAACTAATGGTTAGCTGGATTTCATTCATTCATTTTATTTACCAAAATTCTGTGTTTCAATCAAGTGATAGTGACCTTTGGCTGCCTAGATACCATATTACTGCACAATATGCTAAGTGCAAGAGTTGTTATGACATCAATTGTAGATAATATAAAAAGGTTGAGCACCAATCTAAAGCTCATACAAGGCCAAATCTGGCATGTAATTAGCTTAAGTTCAATACTCTGCCAACCATTTAAAACAACTGTTGCAGTGCAGTGCAAAGCTTAATTAAACCTAGAGCTTTTTAATTGGTGCAAGGTCAAAACTAAGTACATTCACATCTGTAACAAAGTCACACTTTGGGTTCTCGATCGTATCAACTGAAAAGAGCAGACATGTTTCCCTTTCCATTAGGAGACCACTGATTTATGGGCAAATAATTGTTGAAGGCAATGTTGATGTGAGGTTGGTTATTTATGCCAAGGTCAGCTAATTTAATATTGAGTTTTCGGTTGTTTTTACTACATTTGCATTTTCAGGGGGAAATTAAATTACATGGAAATTAAGCAAAAATGTTGTATTCTGAAGAAAAAAAAAGAGATATTGACACTGTAAAACCACCATATATTTTATTGTCAAGAGAACACTGTAAACTCTTGGGAAATTTGAATACATTAAAACATTTGCATAGTGTTTAAATAGAAAACACAATGAAACTACACAGAAAAAGTAATCTGCTAAATTTGGATTTAAAAAGCATGTTAAACATTTACAAATGTTAGTCACCCAGACACTTAAAACCATATACAATAATTTTAGTTAAACAATTTAAAAATCTGTTTGAAATTTTCACAATTTAAAAACGAAAGCCTAACAGGTCAAATTATACATCATGATGCTATATGAAACTCGAGTAGTACATAAATATATAATCCATTGCTTGACATCCCTCAACATACAGCTTGCGTCTTTTGTACCTCCTGGGAGATTAAATCACTACACTACAAAGCCTGAAATTCGTACTTAAACAAGTGGACTTTCCATGGGAAAGAAACTTGCCAAGTCTTTGAGGATCCGCCGTTATAGATTCCTCAATACGTTCAGGACTCTTTAAAGCAGAGACCATCCTGCTAGGTTGTTTCAGCCAACTGCTTTGACATTGATTGGCTGGAACTTTAACATGCAGCAGAAGTGAGCGACCTATGTTGGCCTTGGTTGTATTGGCAAATGGATGACGGAAATATCCTATTTTTACCTAATCCTCCATTTTAGAGCTTTGCCACTGAGGTCCCGAGATCACACAGATGTGAGGAAAGAAGGTCAGCCTGAGTGGGATGCTTACAGAAATTTCTAGATTGCAAAGAAGCTTTTGACCTTCACTAAAAGAAAAAGAAAAAAAATGTAGGGACTGAAGCTCGCTCCAAAGTCTGAAACACAAGAGTCATTGTTTCTGGGAAGAGGCAAAGTCCAGTCTTTGGAATAAAGGCACGTTTTGAGCATAAGAAAAAGTTAAAAGATTTGTATAAAACAGAACATAATTCAGAAAGATAACAACATGAATTCCACCGGGTCAGAAGTTGCTGGCAATCTCATTATAGGACAGTTTGATCTCTAAGTGCCATTTATGAAGTTACTGTCCAAGAAATCAGATTCGAACAAATGAAAGTTGGTAAAAGAGTGTAACAGTGCATCACAGTGATATATATGTATATCCCCTCATTATAGTTGTATCTGCATGTATTTTATGAAGTTTTTTATTTGTTGGCTAAAGATGAACTCTCCTTTAGATTGATACAGCTATGAAAAACCTTACTGATAAGCCAACCAGGTGGTCTGAAACGTATGCAAGTTCAATTTGAATGCAATTTTTTTCTCACAAATGATGACAACCGAAGCTGTATTGTGCGAGTGTGGCTCACATACTGTACTAAATATTCACAGAGCTGAACATTTCTGTTCTTCTTTGGTTGTCGTATGATTGCAGGTCCAGGCTCCACTATACGGATGTGATTTCACGGATCCAGTCCCGTAGTTTGGTGACACGCGTGTAGATGCCAGGCTTGTTCCGCCGAGCGCAGCCTTCACCCCAGCTCACTATGCCAGCCTGGAACCATTTGCCAACATCAGAACGACACACAAGAGGCCCGCCCGAGTCTCCCTACGGAAGCCAAAAGAAAGACACTTTAAAATATCATTCCACGTTTTCCAAAACTGTTTGAAAAAGACCAAAATGCATGGAGGACTTATGTAACAAAACATATTTGATCAGCATATTCAAGAGTTGCCTGTTGATCTACTCAAGAGAATGTTCATTAATGAATGTTTATATTATTTTAATTTATTGTATATTTATTGTGGTTATTTATTTTAGTATTACTGGAGACTTTTTTTTATTGTGTATAAGGCTTTGGTAATATTGTATATAAAACAATCATGCAAATAAATAGCTTGAAATTAAAAGAGGAGATGAAACGTTGATTATGTATGTGAGAAAATAGAAAGAAAAAAGGAGGGTGTGTGAAGCAATTGCAAACATTTTAATTATTATTGTAATCACTCATCATTTATTATTTTGTACCTCTAATTTAAGCTGCTTATTTACTGTGTCATTTCATTCCATTACTATTATTCCTGAATGATTTGTTTTGTGTGTAATACAATTCGGCTCTTAATTACTTTGCCAATATTGCAATGTAAACCGACGTGGCAATAAAGCATATTTGAATTGGGAGGTGTGAGAGAGAGAGAGAGAGAGAGAGAGAGAGAGAGAGAGAGAGAGAGAGAGAGAGAGAGAGAGAGAGAGAGAGAGAGAGAGAGAGAGAGAGAGAGAGAGAGAGAGGGAGAGAGGGAGAGAGGGAGAGAGGGAGAGAGGGAGTATATTAACAAGGTACAGAGAGAGAGAGAAAGAGAGCAAAATCTATGAGCTCCTATAGCTGGAGAGAAAGACAGAAAGGAGTCACAAGACCAGGACCGGAACCTGTGCGAGGAAAAAAAGCACACTAAGAAGATTACACCCAGAATAAGAGAGACGCACAGAGCGTTCAGAAGGGGAAAGCAAGATGAATAACAAGTGAGATAGAAGTAGAAATTATGGAAATCAGCTCATTTAAATATCAGGGAACAAGGTAGAATAATTAATCTTCTCCACTACGAGGGTGTACACACACTGCAGGAAGACAACAACATTAGCTGAACACTTTGATGGCATTATGCTCATGTCATATTTGTACTGTAGGTGTTTCTGAATGAATAGAACAGGATGAAAAAGGCTTGACAATGCATCTAAATGGCTATTAAACCACCGTGAATTCATTACCATTCATAAATGTGTAATCTTTGCACAAGTTTTAGTTAGAAAGCTTTTTAGCTGCATTGATGGTGTTATTATCGTAACTCTGTAAATGCTAATTTTAGAAAAAATATTGGGATAATAGCCCTTAAGTTGCGGTCAACATTGACACATTCTCACAGTTGAATTAGCTATTTCAATAGTAATCCAAACAATTTGGAATTAAGATTGAGGGTGAACAATTTCACCAATGATCCATTATAAATGTTGGAAACAGTTGCTTCATATTTTTTTATAACCTGTGATCATTTTTTAAGGATTCTTTGATGAATAAAAAGTTTAAAAAAAGAAAAGCATTTATTTTAAATAGATATCTTTTGTAACAATATACACTACTGTTCAAAAGTTTGTTATTATAGTTTTCTATTTTTTAAAGAAATTAATACTTTTATTCAGCAAGGATGTGTTCAATAATACATTATTTTATCACTTTTTATCATTGTTAGAAAATATTTCTATTTTGAATAAATGCTGTTCTTTATGAACTTTTTATTAATCAATGAATCCTGAAAAAAGTATCACAGGTTCCAAAAAAATATTAAGCAGCACAACTGTTTCCAACATTGATAACAACTGAGCATCAAATCAGATATTATAATGATTTCTGAAAGATCATGTGACACTGAAGACTGGAGTAATGATGCTGAAAATTCAGCTTTGCATCACAGATTGAAAGTATATTCAAATAGAAAACCATTATTTTAAATTGTAATATTTTTCCCCTGTACTTTTAAACAAATAAAGGCAGGCCTGATGAGCATAAGATACTTCTTTTAAAAACATTAAAAAAATATATATATTTCTAAATTACTACCATGTATTTAGTAAACTTTTGACCGGTACAGTACATATACTGTAAGTAATGAAAATATCAGATTCAGTGTGATTTCATAAGAATGTTTTTTTTTACCTGACAAGCGTCCACACCTCCAGCGAGGTAGCCGCTACACATCATTCTAGAGGTCACCTGACCTTCGGTCACCATGTCGCATACTGTATCATTAATCACCTTAACTTCTGCTTTCTGCAGGATTATTGCAGCAACTCCTACAACACATACATAAATCATTAGTCCTATGAGAATCATACTAAAAACAAAAAGCATCTTTACTCAGTCATAATTTGAAACATTTATTAGAACTAGTAATGTGATTCCACAAATAACAAAATCGTATAACAAAAGTTGTGCAAAGTGACATTGAGACAAGGGATTGATAAATGTCAAACTTGTGAGGCACAATTCCAAAGGTATCTCATGAAAAAGCGGAACTCCAAACGCAAAGGGCAGCCCTCAGGCACACAAGCTGTCTCACCTCCCTCTCGGAGCGTGCCCCAGCCCGTCACGAAGCAGGAACTGCCGGCCGAGAAAACGTGGGTCGATGCTGGAAGGCAGATGGGATGCACGGTGTTGCTGAAGTTCAATGGCTGGCTCAGTTCCAACAAGGAGATGTCATAATCGTAGGTCATTTCATTGTAGCTTGGGTGGGTGATGATGGTCTTTATAGTACGCTGCTGAACAGAGCCGTCCTGGATGTTCTGGTCCCGCAGACCACTGTACGTCAGCCAGCTGGATGGCATTCTGTAGCTGTTGGAAGAGACAATGAACACAATGTTGTTTTGGAGGTTAGTTGTTTAAATCAGATGTTTTGAAAGGTCAACATGAAATGGCAGTCAAATCCATTTTAAGTCTGTATTTTGACAGAAAAACTGAGAGAAAAAAAAAGTACAGTCAGGATTGCGAAAAGCCGTTTGATTTATTTCATGTTTTTTAAATAATTATCTTCTGGTCACCAAGGCTGCATTTATTTGATCAAAAATACAGTAATATTGTGAAATATTATTACAATTTAAAATAACTGTTTTCTATTTGAATATATTTTAAAATATAATTTATTCCTTTGATGTCAAAGCTGAATTTTCAGCATCATTACTCCAGTCTTCAGTGTCACATGATCCTTCAGAAATCATTCTAAATTATGATGATTTTGTGCTCACTTTTATTAGTACTCACTCATTTTTCTCATTTAGATTTTATTTTATAATCAATTATTATTGGTGCTCAATTTTTAATAATGGTTCTTATCATTATCAATGTTAAAAGCAGTTTTTGCTGCTTACTATTTTGGTGGAATTCTGATGAATATGAAGATAATGAATATTTCACAAAATTACTGTTTTTACAGTGTTTTTAATCAAATGCCTTAGTGAGCATGAGAGACTTTTACTTTTCTTTTTTTTCAAAAACGAAATCCTAATTATTCTAAACTTTTGACCGGGTAGGGTAAATGAAGAGGGATTGGAAAATAAGAGGGCTTGTTAATTTCAGCCGAAAAGTAAAGTCATTTCAGAGGTGGAACAAGTTATTACATTTTGATGAAAGACATTTGTGCATTGATGTATCATTCACAAAAAAGACCAGAAACGTTTATTAACAAAGTAAAATGGGGTCAATTTTGATTTCACGGTGAAAGCATAGCTCAGGAGAGCGAATTATCTTTCAGTTCAGCCTTCATGTTTCAGTCTCAGAAACATGTTGGATTAACTCAAAGTAAAATATGATTTTATGCCATGTCTTGTGCTCCACCTGCTGGCCAATGAGAATAAATACAAGCTCAGTCTTTGACCAAAATGTTTGAGCACAAAGCGAATGGAGAAAGATACTTAGCAAATGTCTAATTCGTGCCTCTGATAACATCAACTACAGCTAACAGACTAAATTAAGCAGACCAAATAAAACACAGCCATACAGAGATGCAATAAACCGACTCACTCGGCTGAACTAGACTGGATGAAGCAGTGGGCAGCACAAAGCAGCCATTTGTTGGAGATGATTGAGGCACCGCAAGTGTGTCCGTTGGTCTTGAAATGTAGGCTGACCTGCCACGGCCATTCACCCACATCTGCGTTCTGCCCACCCACAATACGGTTGTGCTTGTATGGCCGGACTCCACAGTCTGAAACCAAATTGTAGGAATGGTTCAAGCTCAAAGAGAGACTTCAAGAAAGACAACGGAAGAGATATCATTGGCATGCTGAGATGAGAGGTTAAGGAGGTCTTGTCCGAGACCAGCAGGGATAAGATCAGAGGGCTAGCTGCAAAAAGTGTTAGCACTGAAAGTTCGAGTTTCTCGAAACATCTGCTCTGACTCACAGGACCGTCGGCCTTTAGCGGGACTCAAGCAGAATCATAACAAGGCAGATATATGGAGGAACGAACCGTGCTGGCTGATAAAAACACAATGAAGAAAGGAAAAAGAAACTAGTAACCCTGAGGCCTATAAAAGAAGTAGAGAGAATGAAGAAATGTCAAGTAAGATTTCATAAAATAAGTATAATGGCTTTGGGCTTTAATGTGCATTTTTTTCCACACTAATTACCACATTGTCGATTATTCAGCAACTTCTGGAAATGACAATTGTTTTTAAATGCGCTGAAACACCAAAAGCTTGTGAAAACACTGAGAAGCTCATTATCTTCAAATAATTATGCAATAAAGACACTAGAGCTGCATGGGCGGTAATTGTATTCTCTTACATATCATTATATATTATATATCTATACCATTTCATAACTAAATCTATAACTACTGTGATTTGAACCATTAGCTGGGTTTTATAAAAGAGTTTTTCTAAAAGAGATTTTACTGTGCATTTCAAATTAATATTAATAAAAGCTGCTGTACTTATTTTTTTGCCATAATCTAAATCGCTGCTAGATGACCTAAATCTTAAAATAAATTACAAGCACATCACTAGAAGACAGTTTGATGTTAAGGGTAAAATCTTTGCCATAACTGATGTAAATTAGCACAAGATGATGATCTAAATCTTAAAATCTCAAATATTGGCTGATACAGATTCATAAAACAACAACACAGATAATCCATATCACGCAAATATATATATATAGAATATAATAAGGGCTGGGACAATACACCCATCTCCTGATTCGATACTATCACGATACTTGGGTGCCGATACGATATGTATTGCGATTTTTTTAAGAAGGGCGTAGATCTCATTACAACTTAGGGGTAGACCACTTTAAAATTAACTCTAATATAAAGCCATTATAAAATTATAATAGATTATAAAATTCAGGCAGAATTTTTGTTTTTGGCACAAACACACTAATAGGTGTTGCATGTCTCCTCTGGGTATAATATCTACATTCTTTCTTCTGGTGTGGTTAGAAAACATCTTAGGGATTTCAGAAAAGTCTAATGTGTTAGATCGAAATACATCGCAGAAGTCAAAATTGCAAAAAATGTCCCAGATTACCCGAATTCACCCTACATGATGTATAAGAGTCACATTTACAAAAAAAAACAATGTAATCGATAAATGCGTTATGTTAAGCACCAAGTTTCTATCAAAGGCTGATTTTGATCACTATCGTAGACATCAGTGTTCATATTTGAAGTTTAAACTTTTATCCAAGTACTTCTATGATAATTGTAACTATTGCATCACAGAAATAATGATACTATGAGGTTGAAAAGACTGTTTGTGAAGCGGTTTAATGACAACTCTCTCGCAGCTTTGAATGCTACGATATGATTTTGTCAAAGTTTAATAGACAGACAAATTGAAAGATCGCGTGGGTGTTTGAATCGATTTCACGGTCTTTTAAAGATGAATCGTGCGGCTCTATTGTCTTATGTCTCTCTCAGCATATGAGCAGCGCAAGGGCTTTTCAGTGCTTTCGGTTTCATGTCTCTTCCACGCATCCACCTGGGATATTACATCACTCTACACATTTATAGATAACGACACATTTCATCCTCTGTTGGAACGAAAGTGGCAAACTTCTGTCAACCTCATCTACAAGCAAGGACAAAAATAAAGCAATTGAATTTGAATAAATATTGATTCTGGAATAATAATAAAAAAAATTAGAATAAAAAAATAATAATAATTGCGATAGCTAGGTGAATCGATTTTTTTCTCCCACGCCTAAATATAATACAATATAATAAAAATAAAATATATAAAATCCAATAAAATGATATAAAATATATGACTGGATGAGCCACATTTTAAATCATTGTAAAATAGTAGCTGAAATACACACCTGAGCACTACAGTTCAATTATGTATTTAACAAATATCTCAGACAGCAGTGCTGTTGTTCTAAATATCTTCACTGCTGCAAATTAATCAAAAAGTTATTAATATTGAGTAACTTTGTGTGTTGAATGGTTACTGCCCATGTTTTGTCCAGACTAAAAGAGCATCTTCACTTTTGTTTGAGTGAAAAAAATACATTAAACAATGTGACTTACCGCATCCCTGTTCATCCGAACCATCTGAGCAGTCGTCTTCGCGATCACACTCTGCGTTCACTTTGTTTACACACTGCTTGTCTTTACACCTGAAGGAGAAATCATTGCAGATGCCAGCCGCTAAGAGAGGAAGAGAGCATAAAGTAAAACTTGAACGAGGGAAATAAACCATCAATTGCAGCTTCTTTTTATCATCAAAGACCTGAAAGACCATGCAAGAGCCAGCTTATTGATCAGGCCTATTGATTGTGGGATAGGTCACTTATCTCAGCTGAAGGATACAAAAACAATGAACAACTTTGGGGTAGAAAGAGTAGGAGGTAAATAAGGGATGAACAAGTTGGAAAAGACCAACATGTGTGATTTCACAACCGTTTCAGCCTAAGTGTTGAAGCTATTGCCATCACAAGAGTCTATGCATATTAAAAGCAGGTTAATAATGTATGTAATGGTACTTAATATTTAGTGTGAATGTACATGTCAATTTGATTTCTACTGGCTGTGTTTCTCCACTTCTGTAGCTGATCACTTAGAAGAAAAAAGAGGATGCAAATACAGCAGCTTAATGGCTGAAAAAGTTGATTAAAGATTAAAGTTCAATTTAAAGCATTCCAAAATGTCCTAAAACTTTAAATATTTTAGTTCACCTTTTCAGTGGCTGATCATTTACTGTGATGACAATCTTTTAGTTTTTAACTAAACTGATCTTTCTGACAATAGAGACCCTAAGCTAAACACACACAGCATGGCCCCAAATCTCACTCAGTACTCGCACACACACACACGAACATCCAGCCAAACAATAGAAAGCACTTTAATATGTTTAATAATTTACAATTTTGTGAATAACTCAGGACCTGTATATGTCTCACAAAAAACATTAAATTCTGCCCAAAGAAAATAAAATCTTTCTTTTCTATTGTGTGTATATATATATATATATATATATATATATATATATATATATATATATATATATGTATATGTATATATGTATTTATACACTCACCGAAAGGATTATTAGGAACACTTGTTCAATTTCTCATTAATGCAATTATCTAATCAACCAATCACATGGCAGTTGCTTCAATGCATTTAGGGGTGTGGTCCTGGTCAAGACAATCTCCTGAACTCCAAACTGAATGTCAGAATGGGAAAGAAAGGTGATTTAAGCAATTTTGAGCGTGGCATGGTTGTTGGTGCCAGACGGGCCGGTCTGAGTATTTCACAATCTGCTCAGTTACTGGGATTTTCACGCACAACCATTTCTAGGGTTTACAAAGAATGGTGTGAAAAGGGAAAAAATATCCAGTATGCAGCAGTCCTGTGGGTGAAAATGCCTTGTTGATGCTAGAGGTCAGAGGAGAATGGGCCGACTGATTCAAGCTGATAGAAGAGCAACTTTGACTGAAATAACCCCTCGTTACAACCGAGGTATGCAGCAAAGCATTTGTGAAGCCACAACACGCACAACCTTGAGGTGGATGGGCTACAACAGCAGAAGACCCCACCGGGTACCACTCATCTCCACTACAAATAGAAAAAAGAGGCTACAATTTGCAAGAGCTCACCAAAATTGAACAGTTGAAGACTGGAAAATGTTGCCTGGTCTGGTGAGTCTCTATTTCTGTTGAGACATTCAGATGGTAGAGTCAGAATTTGGCGTAAACAGAATGAGAACATGGATCCATCATGCCTTGTTACCACTGTGCAGGCTGGTGGTGGTGGTGTAATGGTGTGGGGGATGTTTTCTTGGCACACTTTAGGCCCCTTAGTGCCAATTGGGCATCGTTTAAATGCCACGGCCTACCTAACCATCCCTTTATGGCTACTTCCAGCAGGATAATGCACCATGTCACAAAGCTTGAATAATTTCAAATTGGTTTCTTGAACATGACAATGAGTTCACTGTACTAAAATGGCCCCCAATGCAGTCACCAGATCTCAACCCAATAGAACATCTTTGGGATGTGGTGGAACGGGAGCTTCGTGCCCTGGATGTGCATCCCACAAATCTCCATCAACTGCAAGATGCTATCCTATCAATATGGGCCAACATTTCTAAAGAATGCTTTCAGCACCTTGTTGAATCAATGCCACGTAGAATTCAGGCAGTTCTGAAGGTGAAAGGAGGTCAAACACAGTATTAGTGTGGTGTTCCTAATAATCATTTAGGTGAGTGTATATATATATATATATATATATATATATATAAATAACAGATATAAGCTATAATTGTGTGACCTATATGTGGTGGAAAATTTAAACTATATATATATATATATTAAACTAACCAGGTCAGACTAACATCTAACCTAATTTAACATCTAACATTTGAACAGAATGTACTGTTCGAAACCAATGGGAAACTTGTGACTTTGAGTGTGTGCGTGTGTGTGTATAAATAACATAATTTGGGAAATGAAACTAGACAGCTGTCTAAACTTGAAACTAAAAACAGAGTTTAGTTAGCTAGTAACCAAACGGCTTGTCAACGAAGAACCAATCAAATTAAGTAATGTTTCATGTCATTTTTGCCATACCTCCTTATTCTATAAAACTGTTGTATTTGTGTTTACTCTGGGGATTCTCAATGGGATTTGTCTGAGATCCACCGGCCATGCTTATTGCTTCTTTTTGGGAGATTCTCTGAGAACTGCTCGAGACTCCCGGCCGTAATAAAGAACGTTTAAAGGACAATTACTCAAGTCTGTCTGTCATTAACGCTGCGCAGCAAGAGAACAAGTAAGTTAGATTATCGGTTCTGGACGCTGTAGTGACTGGAGACTCGCTGGAGATTTAGACGGATGCTGTAGTCGACTGGAGACTCGCTGAAGTATAGTTAGGGAGCGGATGCTGTAGTGACTGGAGACTCGCTGGAGATTTAGACGGATGCTGTAGTCGACTGGAGACTCGCTGAAGTATAGTTAGGGAGCGGATGCTGTAGTCGACTGGAGACTCGCTGGAGATTTAGACGGATGCTGTTGTCGACTGGAGACTCGCTGAAGTATAGTTAGGGAACGGATGCTGTAGTCTACTGGAGACTCGCTGAAGTATAGTTAGGGAGCGGATGCTGTAGTCGACTGGAGACTCGCTGAAGTATAGTTAGGGAACGGATGCTGTAGTCGACTGGAGACTCGCTGAAGTATAGTTAGGGAGCGGATGCTGTAGTCGACTGGAGACTCGCTGGAGATTTAGACGGATGCTGTTGTCGACTGGAGACTCGCTGAAGTATAGTTAGGGAGCAGATGCTGTAGTCGACTTGAGACTCGCTGAGGTATAGATAGGGAGCGGATGCTGTAGTCGACTGGAGACTCGCTAAAGTATAGTTAGGGAACGGATGCTGTAGTCGACTGGAGACTCGCTGAAGTATAGTTAGGGAACGGATGATGTAGTCGACTGGAGACTCGCTGAAGTATAGTTAGGGAGCGGATGCTGTAGTCGACTGGAGACTCGCTGAAGTATAGTCAGGGAGCGGATGCTGTAGTCGACTGGAGACTCGCTGAAGTATAGTTAGGGAGCGGATGCTGTAGTCGACTGGAGACTCGCTGAAGTATAGTTAGGGAGCGGATGCTGTAGTCGACTGGAGACTCGCTGAAGTATAGTTAGGGAACGGATGCTGTAGTCGACTGGAGACTCGCTGAAGTATAGTTAGGGAGCGGATGCTGTAGTCGACTGGAGACTCGCTGAAGTATAGTTAGGGAACGGATGCTGTAGTCGACTGGAGACTCGCTGAAGTATAGTTAGGGAGCGGATGCTGTAGTCGACTGGAGACTCGCTGAAGTATAGTTAGGGAGCGGATGCTGTAGTCGACTGGAGACTCGCTGAAGTATAGTTAGGGAGCGGATGCTGTAGTCGACTGGAGACTCGCTGAAGTATAGTTAGGGAACGGATGCTGTAGTCGACTGGAGACTCGCTGAAGTATAGTTAGGGAACGGATGCTGTAGTCGACTGGAGACTCGCTGAAGTATAGTTAGGGAGCGGATGCTGTAGTCGACTGGAGACTCGCTGAAGTATAGTTAGGGAGCGGATGCTGTAGTCGACTTGAGACTCGCTGAGGTATAGATAGGGAGCGGATGCTGTAGTCGACTGGAGACTCGCTAAAGTATAGTTAGGGAACGGATGCTGTAGTCGACTGGAGACTCGCTGAAGTATAGTTAGGGAGCGGATGCTGTAGTCGACTGGAGACTCGCTGAAGTATAGTTAGGGAGCGGATGCTGTAGTCGACTGGAGACTCGCTGAAGTATAGTCAGGGAGCGGATGCTGTAGTCGACTGGAGACTCGCTGAAGTATAGTTAGGGAGCGGATGCTGTAGTCGACTGGAGACTCGCTGAAGTATAGTTAGGGAGCGGATGCTGTAGTCGACTGGAGACTCGCTGAAGTATAGTTAGGGAGCGGATGCTGTAGTCGACTGGAGACTCGCTGAAGTATAGTTAGGGAGCGGATGCTGTAGTCGACTGGAGACTCGCTGAAGTATAGTTAGGGAGCGGATGCTGTAGTCGACTGGAGACTCGCTGAAGTATAGTTAGGGAACGGATGCTGTAGTCGACTGGAGACTCGCTGAAGTATAGTTAGGGAACGGATGCTGTAGTCGACTGGAGACTCGCTGAAGTATAGTTAGGGAGCGGATGCTGTAGTCGACTGGAGACTCGCTGAAGTATAGTTAGGGAACGGATGCTGTAGTCGACTGGAGACTCGCTGAAGTATAGTTAGGGAGCGGATGCTGTAGTCGACTGGAGACTCGCTGGAGATTTAGACGGATGCTGTTGTCGACTGGAGACTCGCTGAAGTATAGTTAGGGAGCGGATGCTGTAGTCGACTTGAGACTCGCTGAGGTATAGATAGGGAGCGGATGCTGTAGTCGACTGGAGACTCGCTAAAGTATAGTTAGGGAACGGATGCTGTAGTCGACTGGAGACTCGCTGAAGTATAGTTAGGGAACGGATGATGTAGTCGACTGGAGACTCACTGAAGTATAGTTAGGGAACGGATGCTGTAGTCGACTGGAGACTCGCTGAAGTATAGTTAGGGAGCGGATGCTGTAGTCGACTGGAGACTCGCTGAAGTATAGTTAGGGAGCGGATGCTGTAGTCGACTGGAGACTCGCTGAAGTATAGTTAGGGAGCGGATGCTGTAGTCGACTGGAGACTCGCTGAAGTATAGTTAGGGAACGGATGCTGTAGTCGACTGGAGACTCGCTGAAGTATAGTTAGGGAACGGATGCTGTAGTCGACTGGAGACTCGCTGAAGTATAGTTAGGGAGCGGATGCTGTAGTCGACTGGAGACTCGCTGAAGTATAGTTAGGGAACGGATGCTGTAGTCGACTGGAGACTCGCTGAAGTATAGTTAGGGAGCGGATGCTGTAGTCGACTGGAGACTCGCTGGAGATTTAGACGGATGCTGTTGTCGACTGGAGACTCGCTGAAGTATAGTTAGGGAGCGGATGCTGTAGTCGACTTGAGACTCGCTGAGGTATAGATAGGGAGCGGATGCTGTAGTCGACTGGAGACTCGCTAAAGTATAGTTAGGGAACGGATGCTGTAGTCGACTGGAGACTCGCTGAAGTATAGTTAGGGAACGGATGATGTAGTCGACTGGAGACTCGCTGAAGTATAGTTAGGGAGCGGATGCTGTAGTCGACTGGAGACTCGCTGAAGTATAGTTAGGGAGCGGATGCTGTAGTCGACTGGAGACTCGCTGAAGTATAGTCAGGGAGCGGATGCTGTAGTCGACTGGAGACTCGCTGGAGATTTAGACGGATGCTGTTGTCGACTGGAGACTCGCTGAAGTATAGTTCGGGAACGGATGATGTAGTCGACTAGAGACTCGCTGAAGTATAGTTAGGGAGCGGATGCTGTAGTCGACTGGAGACTCGCTGAAGTATAGTTAGGGAGCGGATGCTGTAGTCGACTGGAGACTCGCTGAAGTATAGTTAGGGAGCGGATGCTGTAGTCGACTGGAGACTCGCTGGAGATTTAGACGGATGCTGTTGTCGACTGGAGACTCGCTGAAGTATAGTTAGGGAGCGGATGCTGTAGTCGACTTGAGACTCGCTGAGGTATAGATAGGGAGCGGATGCTGTAGTCGACTGGAGACTCGCTAAAGTATAGTTAGGGAACGGATGCTGTAGTCGACTGGAGACTCGCTGAAGTATAGTTAGGGAACGGATGATGTAGTCGACTGGAGACTCGCTGAAGTATAGTTAGGGAACGGATGCTGTAGTCGACTGGAGACTCGCTGAAGTATAGTTAGGGAGCGGATGCTGTAGTCGACTGGAGACTCGCTGAAGTATAGTTAGGGAACGGATGCTGTAGTCGACTGGAGACTCGCTGAAGTATAGTTAGGGAGCGGATGCTGTAGTCGACTGGAGACTCGCTGGAGATTTAGACGGATGCTGTTGTCGACTGGAGACTCGCTGAAGTATAGTTAGGGAGCGGATGCTGTAGTCGACTGGAGACTCACTGAAGTATAGTTAGGGAACGGATGCTGTAGTCGACTGGAGACTCGCTGGAGATTTAGACGGATGCTGTTGTCGACTGGAGACTCGCTGAAGTATAGTTAGGGAGCGGATGCTGTAGTCGACTGGAGACTCGCTGAAGTATAGTTAGGGAACGGATGCTGTAGTCGACTGGAGACTCGCTGAGGTATAGTTAGGGAGCGGATGCTGTAGTCGACTTGAGACTCGCTGAGGTATAGTTAGGGAGCGGATGCTGTAGTCGACTGGAGACTCGCTGAAGTATAGTTAGGGAACGGATGCTGTAGTCGACTGGAGACTCGCTGAAGTATAGTTAGGAAGCGGATGCTGTAGTCGACTTGAGACTCGCTGAAATATAGTTTGGGAGCAGATGCTGTAGTCGACTGGAGACTCGCTGAAGTATAGTTTGGGAGCGGATGCTGTAGTCAACTGGAGACTCGCTGAAGTATAGTTAGGGAGCGGATGCTGTAGTCGACTGGAGACTCGCTGAAGTATAGTTAGGGAGCGGATGCTGTAGTCAACTGGAGACTCGCTGAAGTATAGTTAGGGAGCGGATGCTGTAGTCGACTGGAGACTCGCTGAAGTATAGTTAGGGAGTGGATGCTGTAGTCGACTGGAGACTCGCTGAAGTATAGTTAGGGAGCGGATGCTGTAGTCGACTGGAGATTCGCTGAAGTATAGTTAGGGAGCGGATGCTGTAGTCGACTGGAGACTCGCTGAAGTATAGTTAGGGAGTGGATGCTGTAGTCGACTGGAGACTCGCTGAAGTATAGTTAGGGAGCGGATGCTGTAGTCGACTGGAGACTCGCTGAAGTATAGTTAGGGAGCGGATGCTGTAGTCCAGTGGTTTCCCAACCTTTTTTTGTCTGAGACCCCCTTTTTCCCAAGAAAATATTTCAGGGCCCCCTTCACATTTAATGATATTATCGCTCTTGTAAGCTTGCAGCAAGGATGACAAAATATGTTTTTTTCAAACAAACGGTATGTTTACTATAACTAGATATGTTTATGCACAAATAATAGCCTATGATATTGAAAATACAATAACAAAAACATCAGTAGGCCCTTTGTAATTTAAAAACATAAGCCTAGGAGAAGCCTATAAATTGGCCCTATTTGAAATGCAAAAACAAAAATTTTCACACTGGTGTGTAGGTAAAAAAAAAGAAAAGAATATAGGCTATTACTAAATGACTGTTGTCTGGGGCCTCAATACTTGCATGTTATTTGTGAGGCTTTATCAATGTGAGGCTTTATTTTGTACGTTTTTGGCGCTCTAGCGAGCGATAATAAACATGCATTTATTAACAGAATAGTGCGTCTTTGGGAAGAACATTGTAGCCGGAACTACATCTCTCTGTGTACGTCTATGGCAAGTCACACAGGTACTGGGCTACTCTGCAGCGGCAGCGATCCGAACCAGTGTAAAATAGTCCTAATGTAAACACTTATTATAGGTGTACCATAGTGGTTCAGGATAAGACAAAAACACGCATTGGAAAATGGATTCATGATGAACTCGCTCATTATATACATTTTGTACATTTTGAACAGAAAAAAGTTAAGGACTTTTATTTAATGCCCATTGCTCAAACATTTCAAAATATGACGCGACCCCCACAGAGCTCGCTGAGGCCCCCTTGTGGGCCGCGACCCCCCTGTTGGGAACCGATGCTGTAGTCGACTGGAGACTCGCTGAAGTATAGTTAGGGAGCGGATGCTGTAGTCGACTGGAGACTCGCTGAAATATAGTTAGGGAGCGGATGCTGTAGTCGACTGGAGACTCGCTGAAATATAGTCAGGGAGCGGATGCTGTAGTCGACTGGAGACTCGCTGAAGTATAGTTAGGGAGCGGATGCTGTAGTCGACTGGAGACTCACTGAAGTATAGTTAGGGAACGGATGCTGTAGTCGACTGGAGACTCGCTGAAGTATAGTTAGGGAGCGGATGCTGTAGTCGACTGGAGACTCACTGAAGTATAGTTAGGGAACGGATGCTGTAGTCGACTGGAGACTCGCTGAAGTATAGTTAGGGAACGGATGCTGTAGTCGACTGGAGACTCGCTTAAGTATAGTTCGGGAGCGGATGCTGTAGTCGACTTGAGACTCGCTGAAGTATAGTTAGGGAGCGGATTCTGTAGTCGACTGGAGACTCGCTGAAGTATAGTTAGGGAACGGATGCTGTAGTCGACTGGAGACTCGCTGAAGTATAGTTAGGGAGCGGATGCTGTAGTCGACTGGAGACTCGCTGAAGTATAGTTAGGGAGCGGATGCTGTAGTCGACTGGAGACTCGCTGAAGTATAGTTAGGGAGCGGATGCTGTAGTCGACTGGAGACTCGCTGAAGTATAGTTAGGGAGCGGATGCTGTAGTCGACTGGAGACTCGCTGAAATATAGTTAGGGAGCGGATGCTGTAGTCGACTGGAGACTCGCTGAAGTATAGTTAGGGAACGGATGCTGTGGTCGACTGGAGACTCGCTGAAGTATAGTTAGGGAGCGGATGCTGTAGTCGACTGGAGACTCGCTGAAGTATAGTTAGGGAGCGGATGCTGTAGTCGACTGGAGACTCGCTGAAGTATAGTTAGGGAGCGGATGCTGTAGTCGACTGGAGACTCGCTGAAGTATAGTTAGGGAGCGGATGCTGTAGTCGACTGGAGACTCGCTGAAATATAGTTAGGGAGCGGATGCTGTAGTCGACTGGAGACTCGCTGAAGTATAGTTAGGGAACGGATGCTGTGGTCGACTGGAGACTCGCTGAAGTATAGTTAGGGAGCGGATGCTGTAGTCGACTGGAGACTCGCTGAAGTATAGTTAGGGAGCGGATGCTGTAGTCGACTGGAGACTCGCTGAAGTATAGTTAGGGAGCGGATGCTGTAGTCGACTGGAGACTCGCTGAAGTATAGTTAGGGAACGGATGCTGTGGTCGACTGGAGACTCGCTGAAGTATAGTTAGGGAGCGGATGCTGTAGTCGACTGGAGACTCGCTGATGTGTGAACGTAGCTAACGTCAATTATATTTAGACGCACTAGCGTATAAGTTATACTAGAATAGTTAGTCTTACGAGACAAATCTAGTATAGTTAGGTTTGAGGATAGAAAATCCATAACACCTATAATGGCTAATTCAATTGTATCTGTATTGTATCCACTTTGTACCATTTCTGTGGATTGATTGATAGATTCTTATTTTTTTTATATTGGAATTTATTTTATCTTATTTGAAGTCACCTTAAAGTGACTAAACCATGATGCCATGATGAACTAAGTTAGTTTGTTGCTTGTGAACAAGTCTGGTTCTCATAATAGACAATATGCAATGCAGATAAGCTTACAAAACAAACTTGTGTTACCAACCTAGTGTTATCCTCTATGTAAAGGCAGTAAGTTAAATCCACTCACCTCCTGAGCAGGAGACCTCATCGCTGCCATCAGCACAGTCATTTTTCCCATCACATACATAATCCTTTGAGATGCAGGCGCCATCCCCGCACCTTTCCTCAGCAATACCACAATCTAGGAGGAACAACAAAACAAAGCCTTGTCAAGTGTCCTTCAATGGTAAAAATGAAAGTGGCCTTTTGAAGTATGCAACAACAAAGCAAGTGTTAAAGGTGTACATATGTTGAAGTTCTCAAAGAAAATCCCAGTTTAAGGTAAATTCGTCTTAAACTAGTGTTTATTTGAATCCCAGAAAACAGCTGGTCGTGTGATCTCATCAAGGTCCTGCTTTACTAGGCCACTGCTTTATCTGTGTGAATGCTTAGTGTATCCTTAAATGGATTTTGTTCCATTTAAATTGACTTCCTTTTGAGCAGGGTTTCCAAATGGGCATCACTGCTGAAATGTAAATGCGGAACTGAGCAATAAAAAAATAAATAATTATGTTTGTTGAAATGTAATAGGAGAAACTCACCGCAATGTTTCTCATCACTGTTGTCGCCACAGTCATTCGATCGGTCACAGACAAAGAACTGAGGCTTACAAACGCCATTACTGCAAGTGAACTGTTCCTCACCACAGCCTGAAACATTAAAAACACATACTGAATAATGCTACATTTATTTGAAACATCACCTAACTTTGTCAGATATTAGTACAATGTATACTGTCCTGAAAAGGATATTTCAAATAAACAGATTTTCAAGTATTCCCAATTTCAATGGCTAATGATAGGTAGCAAACAGGATGCAGAATTATAATTCAAATCAGAAGATAAAGAAACAGAATTTACATGTATTTTTTCCCCAGTATGAATTAACCATAACCATGCTTCCTATTTCCAGAAACACTGAATGATTTCAAAAATGATCAAAACATAGCGTTCATTTTATGAACCAAAAACACCTAATTTCTCAGAATGCTTTAATTTATAATTACTTATACATTTAGTTTATAATATTTAATATAATAAACACAATAAATAGAATTGTTCAAATTTTGGTGTAAATGTTCTTAAGTTATCTGAAAACAATGAGGTGCTGTTTGGCAAAATTAAATTCTATTCATTGGTTTATTCCAAACTTAATTAGGAGGAATCTCTCCAATCAGCTGAAGAAAACAACAGATACTGTTGTATCAGTAATTGTAAACAATATAGATACTGATCTATATATTATGGAATAATCAACATAATTAAATTATTGATGCAATTATTTATCATTAATTCTGACTGATGAATTATCTGTGTTGTGCATCTTCCTGTCGTTCCGAATCAATATCCCGCCGGACAGGGCTATTCCAATTCAAGCTCTAATTAATAAATTGAAAGGTTTAAACTAAATGTTACAACATCCTGACTGGGGTGAGACTTACTGCATTGTTTCTCATCACTCATGTCCTCGCAGTCGTTCCACCCGTCACAGCGCTGCTGTTGTGTGATACACAAGCCTGAGGTGCACGCAAACTTACCAGGGCAAGCTGGAGAAGAAAACAGGAAGACAGCCAGAACTCAACACAAGAAGTGAAGGAGATTTCTAATGATAGAATAATATGATCTGTCTGTTTTAAATGTTCTTGGATCAAAAACTGATCACTTCATTTAGATGGTCATATTGAAACACTGAGCTTGCGTACGGTTTACAGGGTCAAATGCGGTGTAAATGATGCTGAATCCCTTATCAGTGTAGGATTCATCTGAATGGAACTTCACTTCCAAGGTATTGCTGGTGCTAGAGAGCACAAATCTATGTCTCTCCCCACAATACCTTAAAAAAAAAAATTTCGAGGAAGGAAAGAGCAGTTAATAAAACAAAGGCTAGGAAATCAACAACAAAAACTTGACAATAATAACAAGAACAACAAAAAGAGTGGCCAACCAGCTCCAGTTGGTTTTCAGATACAGTAAATTGAGCTTAATGCCATTCAAGAAACAAATGAAATCTTTCTGGCTGTCATGGCGGGACAGATGGCAGAACTTACTTTTTTCCCAGCACCTCTATGTAGTCTTTGTGACAGTTGTTAGTGTCCACCCCTGGCTCCTTCACACGGAACATACTGAACTCAATCTTTATCTTTTTGCCAGCAGGAACCTGCAGAATCCACATGATAGTCTTCAGGGTTATTTTCAAAAAGGCATGAATCAACAAACTCTTCAAGAGGAATCGTTCATCGAAATATGAAAATGTTGTCTTCATTTCATCACCATCATATTGCTCTAATCGCATATTATTTCCGTTCTTTTTTGAAACACAAAATTGATGTTAGGCAGAAACACTAGGCAGAGATGTTTGGTGTTTCCCGGAAAAAAGAAAATAATAAAAAGAGAACCAATTTTACATCAAATGAAGAAATACTTGAAAATTGAACTCAAATATACCTTTAATTTTAAGACATGAGTACTCTCTTAACCCTTTTCCACCAGAATGGTTCTCGTTCTGGAGCCAGAACGTGTTCTCGAACAGGCCGCTTGTTTCCTTGAGGAACGAACGGTGATGTAGCGCTACTATGTGTTGTTTATCTGAATACAACATTGAGTCTCCCGGTGTTTGTGTAGGCAGTGCTGCACTTCTGTTTTGTTGTTCACAGTACCAAGAGTGATTTTAGCGTACCAGCAGCTCACATAACCTGCCCGTTCTCTCATCTGTCTAAATTGAAACCCTAGATTCACTCGCTCTCTTGCACACTGGGTCTCTCTCGCGCGCGCGAGACAGCGGCAGCATTTCTACAGAACCCCCTATTGTGAAGTGGAAATGTGCTGAATGGTTCGAGAATGGACACAGGCCAGCAGCCCGCACCAGAACCCCATTTTTTGCAGTGGAAATGCACAGAACGGTTCGAGAACAGACACAGGCTGGAAGGCCACACCGGAACTGGCCTGGAACCCCCTATTGATAAGTGGAAATGCGTGGAGCGGTTCGAGAACACCAGAACAGGCCTGGAACCCCCTTTTTTGCAGTGGAAATGCGTGGAGCGGTTCGAGAACGGACACAGGCCGGGAGCCCGCACCAGAACTGGCCTGAAACCCCCTTTTTTGCAGTGGAAATGCATGGAGCGGTTCGAGAACAGACACAGGCCAGGAACCCGCACCGGAAACCGTGTCGGTGGAAAAGGGGAATCTGTTAGTAAACAAAAAAAAGAGTGAAACCGTGTTGTGAGGCTTACATTGATGTTCCAATTGCAGTCCACCAAAGGAGGGAAGAAACTAGGGTAATGCGGAGAGGTGAAGTTTCCTGTGGAAGCAGTCAGATATGCTCCACAGCTCACAGCTAGAAATGAATATGGGGGAGGGGGAAAGAATGGGAAAAAGTTATTAAGCAACCGACATGAAACAGTTTCTAGTCAATTCAACATTCTTTTTCAAGTTTCAAGGCTGCTTTAAGTCAGACACTGCAAGTGTTTACATGAGCAATATCATACGAGTAGCAGTGCAATATGGCTGTAAGTCAGCAAGGCTGTGATTCGGCCGTCACAGCGTACTAATATACAGCCATATCGCACAGCTACGAGTGTAGTATTACGTTTATACAACAGTTCAACGGCACAAGTGAGTAATTAAATAAGATACAACAACGGAGTGTCTTTAAAAACACTCTTTTGTGCAGAACTACTTCCTTCCGCCATGTCTCAAATTGACAGTTGAGCCCAAGCCTCCGTTATCAATTCTAAAACGTCACTTTAGATCTAGTAACGAAGGAACGTTGAGTTGTTTCATTGAAGCTTATTGTATTATGTAGAGTAGAGTATTATGGTATTATGAGAGAGAAATCGACTAAACGAATGCATTACCTGCATCTTTGCTACCATCTAATGGCAAAACATTAATGTAACTTTCAAGTCCATATCACGATCACTAACGGACCATTTGTCAATATTAAACGCAGCATATTATTTATATAAAATAATATTTATTGAACAACAATATTTAAATTAAAGCTGCAGTCCGTATCTTTTCCTCTTTGTCGCCATCTCTCTGTTCGAAATCTGTAACTGCAGTGATTCGCGGAATTATTATCTTTACGTGGGTTGTAAATCGGCATGAACACAGTGCTTTGAGGCGAGGCGAGTGCTGCTGTCAGTCACCGCGCTGTGTGGATACTGTCATACAGAATCACAGATTCACTTTTTGAAAGTTTGACCAACATAAGAATTTTCATAAGAAAATGTCTTCTGAACAAGTAAGTAAAATCCATTTTTGTTCTGACCAACTAAGGGGGAAAAAGCATTCGACATGATAAGCTTCGTTAGATTTAATCAACGCGATTTACAGCAACCGTGCAAATTATAGCCTACTTTGTTCTCAAATTGTTCATGTTAAGAACATCAGCATTGCGTGACTAATGTTAAATTTAATGTGTTTTATGGTTAGCAGCTACCTGTGTAGTTCAGAATTCATATTCTCCATAATAGCAAAACGAGAAAGGCACAACAAAGGAAACTCCATAACTGTGTGAATTAAGAAAACGTACTGTTACACGATTGAACTATTGAAATGTCTTAACTTTCTTGTTCAGCAGAAAAAAGCCGTCTCTTCTTCCGTTTTGAACCCCTTCAAAACACGGAGTTCAAGCACTTTTCAAAAGCCCCGCCGATGTTTAAATCCTTGTGTTCGCATGAGACGGTTTCTTTCTCTTTCTCTAGCCACCTTAAATCCGAAGTACGAAGTCTTTTGGGTTTTGTAACTGCTGAATCTCCAGTTGACACTGATGATTGTTGTTTGGATCTTTCTGGATGCCATAAGTTTAATTATGTAAAGTGCTGCGAGAAAAGCCTATACATCTAAACATCTCGTCACGCGCAGTATAGCCGGCTAGCCGAAACTCCTTCTTTATGTGTACGGGTGTGACGTAATGACGCAAAGACATGCTCGAATTTCCCGCGGAAACCCACCAGTACCACTGGAATTAAAATTATTATTACAAGCTAACCGTTTTGAATCTAGCTAAGGCAAGCAGAGAGTTTTGACCACTGGCAGAATACGTTTTTTTTTATATAATTATTTTGGATTATTTTTAACTTAAAAAAGTTACGGACTGGAGCTTTAATGACAAAAGCCATTATAAAAGACAATAGGAAATAAACAAGCAAACAATTCAGTCAAACGTACAAAAGCAGCGCTCTAGTGGCCTACAGGATTTAAGTTAAATATAGCCTAAATATAAACTTATGAAACTTAATTAAAGACCAAGGATTGCCTGTTTGATATACCCCAAATTAATTATATCTCATGTTTAAGCACTATCTACACGGCCTGGATCTCGCATCTGCGAAAGCGTCTAAACGGAAGGTAAAATAGGCGCTATGTTTATATATTAGTCACATATTTGAGGTCTAAATAACTACATTCTAGCCAAAAAAAAACTCTTAAAACTACATTTTGTGACAAAACAACAGTAGTATTTGTAAAAAAAAAACATGGTGGATTTGCTCAACCGTCATGACAGTGGCAGCAAGCGGAGTGATACAAACGGTGCCGATAATGGGGAAATATTGCACGGCTCTCAGCCAATCAGATTCGAGAACCAGAAAGAACTGTTGTATAAAGACTTAATCTGATCTGGATGATGACATGACATTATAAAATGCTAAAGCATTTGTACAGAATGATTACACGGTTTACCAGTAGTAGTAGGAATGGCAGAGTAAACCGCTTTGAATCCTTGTTTCTGGACCTTGTCTGTGACCAGGTTGACAAGCATGATGTTACCAGAAGAAACAACCTCAAGAGGATTTGAAGGAGGGCGAAGTCCACACTGTCTGTGATGGAAAGAGTGTTAGAACTGTGACAACTGTATAGAAGAGCATTGTATCATTGCACACTAGTGTGGATTATAACCCGTGAAGAGTATTATCAATATGTTTGTTCCAAAAATGAAAGACAATATAATATAAATATGTGCTGCAAGTGCATTTTGTCAGCCTTTAGGAGTATACAAGCCTGTAGATGACAGATATGACCTTTAAGATATGGACTAAAACTTGAATTTATGGGGTCTTTAAGATCATAAATGAGAGAAAGAGATACCTGGGACGTAACAACATTATTAAGAGCTGTATGGCTCTGTGTCACCTTAGAAACGGGGCAGAGGCTGAGCAGTGTTGCGAGTATTATGTTCAGAGCCCACTGGCTACAAGATACAGTTTGCGACCTATACACTTCAGGTGATTTGTTGTGTAGACTGTGTTTAAAAAAAAAAAAAAAAAAAAAAAAAAAGCTCTCCTTTACTAAAGCCTGTGATAAGGTGACTAAAAATTGGCATGTATCCGAGAGGTGCTAGAGAGGGGTCTTAACAAGCCAATCTTTAGCTAGAAGCCTGAGGCCAACCATGAAAAATGAACCTGAATTGAAAAAGTCAAGTAACCGCTGCCCAGCGATGAGGGGGGCTTCGTCCTTGATAGAAGATAGTTCTATATATCCTATACACTACGGTTTAAAAGTTTGTGGTCAGTATTGTGATCAAATATTTTTGATCAAATCGATGCAGCTTTGGTGAGCAGAAGAGACAAAAAAACATTAATAATTTTTTTTTTATCATTTTAATTTTTTTTCTTTTAAATTTGAGGTCCCTAAAAGTGTATTTAAAAAAAAAAAAAAATATATATATATATATATATATATATATATATATATATATATATATATATATATATATATACTCAATATAGTGAGGAACATTTCTCAATGCCTAGTCAAAATGCTTAAGTGCATTTAGCGTTACAACATAGTCACAATATTCAAAGTTAAATTATGCAAAACATTTTGTTAAAACAGAATGTCACAGATTCTTTCAATAGAGGATAGCTGGTATTTACCTCAGAATATTCCTAGAAGCAACACTGGTACATGTTATGACAGGAAGTCAAATCTGAGGTTTGAAAGCTGCATATACTCACTTTGTGATGGCGCGAGTGCTGTCAGGACTGAGAGAGTCGTAGATGGCCACATAGTCATTGGCACAGTCATCCTCGATGTGGAAGGTCTTGAATTTGACAATGATGGCGTAGCCTTTAGGGGCGCGAATCTGCCACTGACATCGGGAGTGAGCTGGGTATTTCTTAGGGTGTTCGGGAGACATAAATTCTTTGCCGGTGGTTTCAGCAACAAGACTGTAGAAGCAGTTCTCTGACAATAGAAACAGGAAAAGTAGAAAGATCTGATCTTTGCTGCATGCTGGTATCTACATTCAAACCATGTACTCGACAGATACTTCAGATGAGTGCTTGTGTATTTGCCTAAATGAGCAGTATACAACAGATGCAGATCCCACAATGCAATTTGTTTATGGAAATGGAATTGGCATTCTTATTCTAAAAAGTCATATACTTGCATATGTTGAAAATATGAAAGTTCTAGTATATTGACGGGAAGGTCAAGAGTGCATAATAACAGCCTCTTGCTGGTGATGGAGAAATTTGGAACACGCACATGCTAAAACTAACTTGAGGAATAGTGGCAGCATTAACAATGGACATTATATCTGCTTAGCAACAGAGGGGGGATATGCTCAGCAGACATGAAATCAACCAATCATAATGAAGTAAACATGTAACCTTTTAATCGTGCTATTTTTATACATTATTTCAAGGGATAAATATTTGTTTATTTTTCTCTCTGTTGTCGTCTTCATCAATTATCTTTTTTCCTCCATTTGTGGTAAGAGCTATTTGGATTCGGGTCTGGTTTATCAATGTGCGGGACTTGATGTTGTCAGCCTGGAATTGATCAATAGAAAGTGGCCGTTGCAAAACTAAAATGGAAGCATATTTGATCAATCACTGTGTAATGTCCCAACTCTAACCAAACACACCACAAAGTAACACCCGAAACGGCACAATAACAACAGAATTAAAAATGGAAGGTTCTGAAATCATTGTGTTGCAGTTAATTATTGTCCATGTTGAATATTTCAGAAATCCTGTTGTGTGGTGGGAACCCCGAGCACGAACGCGCACGCACAATGCAGATTGTCACGTGGAAAAAAACGATACCCAATCAGAAATCAGAAATCTTCCGCCATGTTTTTTTACTCTAAAGTCAAGTTTGACCGCAAGAGATTTTGCGAGATTTCCCGTTCTCACAGTCGGGTACTCTGGTTGTTTGTGAATGGAATCTGTTAGTGTGTGTTGTGTTGTCTTGGTCACATTGTGGCACTCCAGACAACAAACAAAACTGTTAAATCTATGATTTTTTTTTGTCGCCATGTTTGTGGTCTGTCAAATTTCGACAAATCGGATTAGATTTTAAAGATCTTTCAGTGTGGGCGAGCCTTTAATTGAAGTAAAACGGGTCTGTTTTGCTTTCATGCTGACTAAAGCCATAAAACAAATTGCAATGCACTTGCAGTTTAATGCAGATAGTTTAGACATTTGTATATAAGTGCTGTTGAAGAGCTGTACATTTGCTTTCTGTGGTTGAAAAACAGGTTGAGATCTTGTGTGTTGTGCACAGTAAGGTAAGTGGAAGGGAAAGCGAGCGAGAGACAGAGTGAGCGTGAGATGGAGGCGGGCAGGCATTTTTCAGTGAGTGACAGGAGAGAGCACGGCAACCCAGGTGGAAAATTACAGTGCAGCGGTGACTGAAATGGGACACACTTTACTCACTGGATCTGGGGTCCCTGGCCATCCGAGGGTCTGTGGCTGCAGAGACAGACAGAGAGAGAGAGAGAGAGAGAAAGAGAACATGAGGCATGCTGTCCTTTTTTCAGTCCTCTTTCCTTCCATTTTCCACAGGCCTGTCAGCCATTCTGTTCTTCCTCCTCCACCCCTCACCTTGACTGCGACGTTCACAAATACCCGTCTCTCACCTCACTACAGCGACATGAGTCTCCGGACAGAGATATCATTTTAAGCAGGGCACTGAGGTGTCACTCAGGCCTGCTGCTCTCGTGTATATAATGCAAATGGGGACTGCAGAAGGACAGACAGTAACAGCTTTTTTTTTTTGTAGAAACAGAGAATTACTCTGTTCCATTGAGCCGCACATTGGAGGCAAGTCCCTACTGTTATCTAGAAAGTTATTAAAAAGCATCAGCACTCCTAAAGGAGCCATTTCATTTTTCATTTATATACATGTTAGTCGTGGTGTTTTGCTACAAAAACAGTCATAATGTAGTTTTCCCACAACCGTTTTCAATTTAATCTTCCTTTTTTCACCCTAATTACTGCACTGTGACTGTGGAGCAAATATGCTCTTTCTTTGTAATTAGCAATCATCTTACGTGAAGCGGTGATGTCGCTGGAAGTGATTGCGAAGCTCCTGAAGCGTTTGCCCTCCTGTCGGATGGTCTTCTGCAGAGCCTCGATCACACGCTGCTCTGTCAGCTCTGGGACGATCTCCTGGTCCATCTCAGGAATGTCAAACTGAGACCAATGATACGCTAAGGTTCCTTCACTGCAGATGCATGATATTGTCATATTATTGAATGAAAGTAAAAACAAATAGATTTTTTGTGGTACTTGCCAATGCAAAACTCACTGTTAAAAGCTAGGCTATTGTGTGTTGTTGTGAGGGTGTTTCTATGAAGCTGCTAAGGTGTTTTATATGGTTTTAAGGATGTTGCTATGCTGTTGCTAGGGTGTTCTGGGTGCTTTCTTACTGACCCAAATAAAAAAAAAAGAGCCCATTATCTATGATACTGTGTATTGGATTTTTGTCCTGTTTTTATGGTCCCTTACCCTGAGTATGAGCAACAGTAATAGTTGAACTGGAAATTAATAATTTGTATTCTATTAGGGTGTTTTTTTTTAACCCAGATTCCATGAGACTTGTAATTTATCTCTATCAGCGAAACCACTAGGCATTAAAATCAAGACATAAAGAATGATCTATTCTTTAATTTAAAAACTATTAGATTTAGAGAGTGTGCTATAAATCTAGCTTTGTCTAGATCAGTGCTCTTTGGCTCAGCTGTACCTGAAGGCAGTGATGACAGACTTGGTGTAGTATTTGGAAAGTAAAGGATCTGTGGTGAATGTATCGTTCATCTGAAAAAAGAAAAAGTAGATTATTTTTTAGAATAATAATTTTTTTAAGAAATAAATGGCCAATGATATGCAGTAATAGCGCAACATGTAACAAGCCTTTTCACAATACAAATAATTTCAAAGCAGGAAATGCATATTTTGATGATACAATGATGCAAATGTAATACATAAGTACTGTCAAATCGATTAAACACATCTAACATGTTTCTAAGTTTCTGTTTATATAATATATGTGTATGTATATATATATATATAATATATGTGTATATGTATAGAAATATAAGACTTGCTAGGCCTATTTTTAGCTACCAAGCAACCTTTCCACAAGGATAGATTGATTTTATTTTTGTGACTTGTGCATACCTTGATGTGAAATGACGCAGAGTAGGCTGTGTGTGTGTGTGTGTGTGTGTGTGTGTGTTGTAGTAGTAAAGAGAGAGAATGAGAGAAGGAAGTTTGTGTGAGGTGGACCTGGTCACCACAGACCTAAATCTTCTCAGCTGTTGCTACTGTCATGCTGCACTATCTCTTCATGTGGCACATTATGTTTGGCACATTGTATGGCTCACTATATCATAACAAGGTAATACAATACTGTTAATCAGTCATCACTTGATTACACAATGTAAATGCTAAATGTCCTAATACCTGTTGATACTACAACAATGCAAAGTATATGCTCTTAACCTTGCAGTTTTTCACATATCATGTAAGACTCAATTTCTCCATTTCTTTGCACAAAACTCTCCAGAAAATGGCATTTAATGTTTTTTTTTATTCCGGCATACCGCCGGACCCCCCTGGGGAGAGCCCCCCCCCCCATAATAAATCCCAATTTAAGCCCTGCGATACACACACACACAGAGAGTATATACACAGAGTATATACACATATTATAAAAAAAAAAAACATTAATGTTAGATCTGATTAATCGCGATTAATCGCGATTAATGGATTTGGCAGCACACGTATGTACACCTTTGTACAAATGTCTAAATAAATTATTAGTAATATTTATATTTCAAATCATTTAATAACAAAAAGGCCAAAGATAAATCCTAAAAGTTCCTAAAACAGGCTTTGTAAAGTTTTGCTTCCACAATAAAATATATGACACTGATCTGTCTTGTGGCATTCAGCCAGTAATGTGAACCTAATGAGTAAAGCTTTGTTTATTGGCTCTGCAGGGCAATGGGAAGTTCTTTGTTTGAGGCAGGCATAGCTCAGGAGTGCCGCCTTGTGCTTTTCAGCATGATAGGGAAGAAATACACAAAATTGATAGAACAGTCCCTCTAAGACAAGCCTGACAGCTACAGATACATGTAGACTAAATAGTAATGGCTTGCTAGAAACACAGTATACAACCCTGGCCATTGAGTCTACAGAAATTAATGTACATGCATACGACTGCCTTGCCAGAAAATAGTCAGTAACTTTGTCATGAGTCTTTGAAAATTAATCCCAACAATGTGTGCCATTGTTTGTGGCAAATATGCCACTTCAGATGAGGCTTCATTGCAAGTCTATGTAGTGATTTCTTTTTAAATATCAAAATACAGATAATATGGTGCACCTCTAGATCTTATTATGAAGAGGACAGAAAAAAATGGAATCATTCTTCAATTTAGAATAAAGGATCTCAGTCAAAGTTTCCAGAAGACTCATAAACACTGTCAATGGAGAAAAGTCTGAGAAGAACAAAAACACTCACAATTCCTTCCAGGTCTTTTGCCACTTGTTGGAATTCCGTACTTTCAGGGTTGTCATATACTGGGCTGTACTCCGGTTTGAGAAGCTTCATGTGTCCGCTGTAAACCAGCGTGGATGAGGTGGATTTCTGAGTGGTGGACTCATCTTCCAATGCTTTGCTCCTGACTGAGAGATGGAAAGATGTTATTAAATAAAATAGTAGGAATTGTACACTACCATTCAAATGTTTGGGGTTAGTACATTAGTATTTATTTTTTTGGACTTTTTTGATTTTCCATTTCAAATAAAATGCAGTTCTTTTTTTTTTACTGTAAAAATAGATACATCAGATTAGTTTATGATGAAGTTTTTGATAAAGGTTGAGCATAAGAGACCCAAAACGGTAGTATATATGTGCAACCTTCTTGATTTAAGAGCAAGTTCCCTAAAGAGACAATTAGTGAAGCGGTTTACCAACAAAGAGCCACACGAGAAATCCGACCACTGCGGCCACTACCAGCAGGGAAACGATGACCCCCACGGCGATGCTCCTCTTCCGTCCTGATGTCATCTTTGGTTCATTCGTCAGGAAGGTGACCTGGTCATGTTGCCCATTCCCTCTCTAAAACAGAAATGAAAGTATTCTTCTGTGAGCATGTCCTTCAATAGTGAACATTTAGCTCCTCAGTCGCGCAAATGATACAAAATAGCACATTCAGAATGAATCATGAATTCAGTTAGTTTCATTTATTCATATAATAAACTGAACATTTCGGTTTCCTCTTTAAAATAGCTTTACAGCTGTAAAGCTCAAAAAAAGCACCAAAAGCAAAAGAGAAGAGGTTTAAAAAATAAAAACATTAATTTTGGTCTTCTTGAGACTTAAAATATAGCACAAGGCTTAGAGTACCGTTATTTCATTTTTTGCCATTTGGGGTTTTTGTTGCATCAAAAAGAGCAGTGCGAACAGTTTAAAACTCCTCCTTTTGCGATCCTGCTGTGTAACTTCTGCTCAACTGAAGAAAAAACAGCACAAGACTGTATCATAATAATTCCTGTTAGTTGCTTTGCTTAGAGAACATGAAAGCACAAACACATTAAACATTAAATGACATGAAATGTTAATATAAACCACCATATTTGTTAGAGAAATAAATGAAAGTAGCCTCTGGTGGTGCAGCATCTGTAAGAATATTTAATGCAAACTAGCCACTAATGAAAACTATATTTCAGTACCACTTATTTTTATTTAATCATATAAAATTTAGACTTAAACATGTCGCAAATTATGCATGAGTAGGCGCAGTATGCTGCCTACACACCAAACCCACTTCCCAAACGGTACAGGAAGAGCTGAAACATAAAGATAAACCAAGCTTTTCGTATGTGCTGCAACAAGTCCTACCAGTACTGAATGCTCCAAACTGAAAAAGCATTTTTGAATTGAAATAATGCACATCATGTAAATGCATATGGACTGTTTTGCAACAAAACATGCCGAGACTGGTTTCAATGGCCCGTACATTGCAGGATCAAAACTGGTTAGGCCTGTTTCTGTGACCTTACACAAACACAGACAGTTATATGGCATACTCTATCATCCAGTATTACATTGTTGGCATGCCTATGTTTAAAGTGTAAGGTGCGAGTTAATATATCTAAGAAGGATTAGAGATTCTGTTCTGAAGATCTGTCTTAAAGGGGTCATATAATGGTACATGTACTTTTACAAGTTGATTGTAATGAAATGTGTGTTGGCAGTGCCTGTACACACAGCCATCAAATAATGATAAAAATCCATCCAGTGGTTTTGTTTTAATCTCCTTATATGTTTTCCCCTGTCTCAAATCAAGCCGTTCGAGCCTGTGACGTCACAAGCTCGCACGCCCCTCCCACGATTGTTGAATGACAGCCGCGTTTCAACACAGACCCGCCCTCGCTCGTGAGCCAGCTGTCAATCATAGTCTGCGCGGACAGGCGCGGTCATTGTTGATATTCTGGAGCGCTGTCTATGAGCAGAATGGCGTCTAAGCGATTGTGGCGTTCTGTTCTTGGGTGTAATAACGAACACAGCAGTCATTTTAATGCTCCTAAATCCGAACCGCCGAAGACGCAGTGGCTGAGTTTGTTTTCGAAGGGAATATTCCCCACGAGCAACGTCAATGCTCTCATGTTTGCGCGAATCATTTCACACACCAGACTGCTTTATAAACGAGGATCAGTATAAAGCTGGTTTTGCTAAGAAGCTGCTCCTGAAAGGATCGGTACCAGATATTCGTGTTCCTGCTCCAGAAAAACTGAAGTGAGTGTAACGTTTTATTAAACTTTATATTAATATTTATATTAATCCTTGTAAATCGCTAGCTGCACGCTTCACAATGAATGCGTCTAAGGTTTACACTCAGGGTACATTACGGCATATTTTCTATGTATGACGTTCTCAATATAATGCATAATCCCACGTTTATACTGAACAACGTGTTATGGTTATTGTGTTACAAACGGTGTACGCCAGAGCCCGGCTCTGGTGTACGCATAGAACAGAGAGGCGGAGTCAGCAAAGCTCATGATCATTTAAAGTCATATACACTGAAACGGCGTGCTGAAAACAGAGCTGTTTTTTATCAGGTAAAATAAGTGTTTTCTTACAATACTAATGAGAATTTTTAATTAAAGTATATTACAAACTTTTAATTTAGACCCTAAAGAATCATATTAGCTTGTACAAAAATGGCATTATATGACCCCTTTAAAGTCGTGTCCAAATACAGGAGGTAAATATGTTGTAGCTGAATGGATAAGAATGTCTGAATCTAATTAAAATGTTGAAGGTTCAAAACCAATCCTGAATGTATCATAGTCCCTGCTGAGTCAACATGAAATGCATTTGCAACCCACTTTCATGTGACATAGATGGGAAAAATATTAAAGAATAACACAAATGTAGGGTGGGATTTTATTTGCTATATATTACACACTATAACGATACTACTAATCCACACACCAATGCACACTAACATTCTACTAATCCACACACCAATGCACACTAACATTCTGTTTATTATAAGCATGCGCAGCAGTTCTGTCATCTGCCGCTTTAAATGCTTGAGCTCTAGGATGGATTCTGATTGGCTTTCAATGTTTTCATCATTCATTGTCAGCAGGAAAAAGACTTTCTAAGCGATTTCAATGATATTACTCTTTGGCATTATTGTTTAAGTTCTGGTGTGGACTCTGCTATTGTTTTACATTTAGAATGTTTAAAATTATATCTTTATCATTATTGTTATAGATATTATCCTCGGTGTGAATGGGCCTTCTTTATTGGTACCTATGGTTTCATGAAGAGCATTTAGGGGCTTTCACACGAGTATAGGAACTCAGTTATAGGAACTAGCCACCAGTGCGGTTCCCCAGAGAACACAATTTTCCCTAGGGCCATTTTCCTGGTTGACTTCGCAGTAGAATCTCTGAAGTGTCGTATGCCGGCCGACAGCGACGTAATATCAGCGCAACATTCAACAATTGGAGGATGGAAGAAGCCGTGATTGGTTGAGAATTGGCCTTCGGCGTCGGTCCATCTATCGCGGTTTTCCATGTTCGTGGTGTTAGTTCGCGGAGTAAGTAAATGTAAACTGTACACTAGTTTTTAAAAGTGGCGGGTGCCAGTTTCGTATGGAATGCGTTCAGCCAATCATTGGTAGTTCCTATTGTGCCGGGTTAGACCCTACTCTGTAACAGTAGGAGCTAATTTAGGTCCCCCAAAAGGCGTTCCTTCCTATAACTAAAATTGTTCCCAGTTCCTGTGGTGTGACACCAAAAAGAGGGTAGGCTACTACCACCAATATTTACATGAAATATGAAAACGTTTCTCCGGTGAGAAAGCCCCTTTTAACAATCATGAAACCTTTCCATTCCACAGACGGTTTTTTATATAGTGGAAAAAGGTTCTTCACACCAAGAATTTTTTTTTTTAAGAACTGTTCACTAAAAGGTTCTTTGGGGAAACAAAAATAGTTCAATGGCATCACTGTAAAAAAAAAACTTTTGGAATCTTTATTTTTAAGAAGGTAAGGACACACAATATCAGCTATCCAGCACAATATATCAGTTAATATGTCCGATAGGCCTATTTATTGGTTAATAATTAATTGTTTATGCTCATTTCTCTTATTTTTACAATCAAGTTAAGGATTTAAGTTAATCTTTCACAATTCATTTAGAGTGTAAATGCAATATTCAGCAAATCTCAAAGTGAATATCCATTTATAACACTGTACATAATATTCTGATGCCAAAATTCATAGTGTACATTTATTTATTCAGAGAGGAGACAGAAGAGCCACATTGGAAAAAATTGCTTAAATGTGTGTGCAAAACAGCAAATAACAGACTAAATCACTTTATTTCAGAGGTCTGTGTTTGAGAAAGGTTCAAATTATGCCTTGATTTTGCAAGATGTGGTTAGTGTACTGCTGTGAGATATCTGGATGGGCTGCATACTGTATGGAGAATCCCAAAGGATGCAGAGGTACTAAATAACAGCCCTGACAGACATCTACAGTCAGGCATTTAAGGGACCAACCGGCCTCTTCCTTCATTTCCTCCTTTCTTCCACACACACTGTTGACTCCACAAAAAACGCTGTAATTGTCCATAAATCACCCGTTCCCTACCGCAGCGGTATCATGCTGAAGCTAAACTGGGACTGTGGAATGAGCCAGAGCCTCAGTACATTGCGCACGTTTTTAACTGAAAAAGCATGCACATTGCACACACAATAAGGAAGGGGTTGCAATTAAAAAGTGGTTAGAAATCAGAGTGTCTACACCCTGGGAGAAGAGGAATCAGGAGATCATTAGGGAGAAAGAATCACATTGGTATTAAATCAATTTGTCAGACGTGCTAACCCTCCTATCAAGATTTACAACAGCGAGCGCGGTAACTCATCGCAATTAAAGCCATTCTTACTGTAGCCCGTCTGGCACTCAAGCTGCCTAAATTGGAATTTTTTTTAATAGCCATCATGGCATAAGATTAAGAGAATCAATGGGGAATGCAGGTCACTTGCTGCTGTGGGCTTCTGTTATCAGTCATCCTGATCACAGCCTAATAACAGCATTACACGCCGTGATTCTAACCATAACCCTCTGCAAAACGCCATACTGAAGACATATCACTCTCAGTAAGAGCCATCAGCAAAACAGTACTGTCTCTTTCTCACTTTTATCAGCCAGGGTAGACAAATCTAATTAGATGCGCCTCCACAGGTGTAATCCGCATAAAGCCAGTGCGTGTTGGTTCTCTGAACTAAGGATTGCTTCGAAAATGGAGCGATAACACCGCAATTAAAGATTAAGGTGTGGGTGATGCTTTACAAATGGAACAAACAAAAGAAAACTACTTTTTATTGAAGCAAAATAAAGCTAATTTACTTGTCTATAGGTAGATTGATCTTTGAAAGCTATACACTCACCTAAAGGATTATTAGGAACATCAATATTGTGTTGGACCCCCTTTCGGTGCTTTCGGCATATTGATAGGATAGCATCTTGCAGTTGATGGAGATTTGTGGGATGCACATCCAGGGCACGAAGCTCCCGTTCCACCACATCCCAAAGA